ATTATAGTATTGCTGTGAAATGTTTATTTGTGAATTGATATCCCATAAATTGTGATAATTCTGTATTCTTGAATTTCTATAAGAGTTTTTCTATATATATTAAATTGGCAATTATGCTAGAACGTCTTTACAAACTGCTTATCTTTCTAAATTTGAGCCCAAAATATTTGATTGGTTATTTTAGAAATGTTATTGAACGTGACTGTTATTAATGGTTTCAGTGAAACTCATATTAATGATTTCAGTGATATATTGAGTACATGGTATTGCTGCTTTCGAATGTTTAAAGAGATTTAGAAATAATTTAAGTATGCAAGTGGACTCATCCGGTTCGCCGGTGAGGTATAAGTGGACCTATCTGGGACGCGGGTAGGGATTAAGTGGACTCATCCGGTACGCCGGTGAGGTATAAGTGGACCTGCAGGGATTAAGTGGACCTATCTGGGATGCCGATAGGGATTAAGTGGACCCATCAGGACGCTAATGGGGTATATAGGTGACCTACTTGGGACGCCAGTAAGGTATTTTGTGAAATCTTTTGAATTATGTACTGCCGTTAAAAGTGTTATAAGCATTTCAATTACTCGGATTATACTTAATTATGCATTTATTGTAAGTGAAACTGTTCATGCATTTCTGTTAATAGATCTCATTTTGGAAAATATTGATATCTTTCAATCATAATTATTTTTAGAATTATGATGATCACTTACTGAGTAGCCAAACTCATCAAACTATGGTAAACATTTTTTCAGGGTAACTGCAGATTCATTTTGAGTGCTAGTCAAGATCAACCTTGAAAGATACTGTTGTTGTGCTAGCTTTCTTTATTTACTTTGTAAGACCTCGCCACTGTAAATTTATCCTATCAATAGATGTATATATGTTTTCTCTGTCACATCTCAGGAATAACAGTATTGTAAATTCTTGGGGTGTGACAACTCACTTCCTAATTCTTGGGATACTGTCATCACTTTCGTTGTAGCACGATCAAAAGCTCCCAAGCTAGATGAGTTAATCACTGTGCTCAAAGGAGAAGAAGAGAGAATGCATGTGTGCTACGGTTCAGCCCCGAAGGAAATAGTACATATGGTAAAATCTAAACCCTTCTTTAAGCCTTATAAGGGTAAGGGTTGAGCATTTTTAAGAACAAACAAAGATCTAAGGAGAACAAATATAAAGAGAAAAGAGAAACTATTGTTTTATTTGCAATAAGGTGGGCCACATAACAAAGAATTGTAGGTTCAACAAGAATCCAAGAACTAACAAGGAACTTGCTTGTGTGGTCTTCGAAACTTGTTGGCCTGCCCTAAGGGTGCATCTTGGTGCCTTGACTCGAGAGATACGGCTCACGTAACAAATACTAAGGAAGGGTTTCGCACTTTTACTCCTGTGGGGCTGAGGGAACAATATATCTTCATGAGAGGAAATCAAAAGACCGAGGTATTAAGTAATGGGGACTACTCTCTTGAATTGAAGAATGGAAAGATGTTGATCATTAAACAAGCACTTTATGCTCTCGAAATGAGGAAGTGCTTGATTTCGGTTCCCAAGATGTCTAAGGCTAGATTTATCACTACCTTTGTTGCAGAAAATGTTATAGTGAAAAATTATAATGAAATTGTAATGACCAGACAACTTGTGAACTATCTTTACTCAATTGAAATAAAAGAAGTGGTTGCTTATGTCTCGTCTTTGAATGGTTTGGATGCGTCTAGGGCACATAGGATTTAATAGAATGGAAGTCTAAGAAAAGATGAGATTCGTCTAAACTATAAAGGAGATTTATCAAAAGTATGTGAATCATATGTGCAAGGAAAATTAATTAGAAAAAGCTCTACCAGGGCACAAAGAGCTACTAATGCATTGGACATTATTCATAGTGACATATGCCATCCTATGAATGTCGCTACCAAAAGCCACAAAATGTACTTCATCACTTTTATTGATGATCACTCGTGATGTGACCATTTATATCTTAGGCACACTAAATTTGAGACTTTAGAAAATTCAAGATTTACAAAATCGAGGTAGAAAACCAAATAAACTTGAAAATCAAAGTCTTAAGAACTGCAGCGGTGGCGAGTACTCTTCTGAACTCTTTAAAAACTTGTGTAGAGCATGGGATTGTTCATCAGTTTACTATACCCTACACACCATAACAAAATGGAGTTGCCGAGAGACAGAATAGAACCTTGGTAGAGATGGTGAGAAGTCCGATGGGGTATGCAAAACTTTCCCTAGATTTTTTACGTGAAGCAATATTAACAGCCTGTTACATTCTGAACCGGACTACCACCAAGGCTATCCCTCTTACTCCTCACGATGTATTCATCAATCATACTCCATCCCTCAATCATCTAAGAGTATGAGGTTGCTCGGCCCATGTCCTTATTCCATAGAAAAACTGGACAAAGCTACATCCCAAAACTATCAAGACCATTTTCATTGGCTACTCTGACCATGGTAAGGGATATCGATTCTACAACCTAGAAAATTGGGCATTCATTGAAAACCAAGGGGCTCATTTCTTCGAGGATAAATTTCTTGAAGGAAGAATTAATCACAAACAAGCCGATCTCTATGAGATAGCTAGTGACAAAGTTGAGAATCGAGAACCTGAGCCTGAACCTCAACTCCAGCCTCAAATAGAATCCGAACTTCCAGAACCAATAAAGAGTAACTAAGTTACATGACCACCTCAATACTTTGAACACTTTACCTACCTGGGAGAACACTATGATAGGATTGGGGATGAATCAGATAATGGGCCTAAGGCTTACCGAGAAGCCATAACTTGTTCTGAAAAGAACTATTGGGTAGAAGCCATGAAAGATTAATACTCCTCCATTAACTAAAATCATGTTTGGGAATTAATACCTCTACCTCGATACCGAAAGGCCATAGGATGCAAGTGGATTTTTAAGAAGAAACTTAACTCAGGAGGAAAGCTAGAAAAATACAAGGCTAGACTAGTAGCTAAGGGATTTAACCAAAAGGAATAGACTATGATGAAACCCTTTCATCAGTTGCCAAGTTTCAATCCATTAGAATCCTTATAGCCATAACAGCCCATTTTGACTTCGAAGTCCATCAAATGGATGTAAAGTCAGCCTTCCTAAATGGGGATTTAGAAGAAGAACTTTATATGAAACAGATCAAGGGATTTGAAGAAAATGAGAAAAGAAACCTAATGTACAAACTTAATAAATCACTCTATGGTCTAAAACAAGTATCGAGATAGTGATATCTTAAATTCCAAGAGACTTTGTCTCTAGCAGGATTTATCCCTAACCAATAAGACTTTTGTATCTATAAAAAGTCAGTGGGAGTAATGTCATAGTCATCTCTCTATATGTGGATGATATGTTGATTATTGGTAGTTCAATAAACCTCGTGTTGGAAACTAAGAAATTTTTTGCACAACACTTAGATATGAAGGATCTTGGAGAAGCTTCATATGTATTGGGCATAAAGATTGTAAGAAAGAAAGAGACGAAAACCACTCAACTTTCGCAAACGACCTATTGCAAGAAGGTGCTGGAAAAGTTTGACTTGGATAAGTGTAAGGCCATGACAACCCCGTTTGACAAAAAAAGAAAGCTTAATAATAAAATGTGCCCTATGACGTAGAGGAAATGAAAATTGTGGAAACAATATTATATAGTAAGTACATTGGGATCTCTTATGTATGCAATGACGGGTACAAGACCTGACTTGTCTTTCGTCATGAACATGATTAGCCGGTTTGAATACAATCCAGGAGTGAAACATTGGAAAGCGGTCAAGAGAATTTTGAGATACTTGAAAGGGACTGTAAACTACGCATTACATATGGGTGAGGATCGAAAGTTGCTCTTGAAGAACATTCCGATGCGAGCTCTCAAGAGGATCCAGATGATGCAAAGTCATTATCTAGATATGTGTTCATGTTTGGAAGAGGGATTGTTTCTTGGAAGTCAAAGAAACAAGATGTAGTAGCGTTGTCCACTATGGAATCTAAATACATGACGTGTTCCTTGGCGCCCAAAGAGGTTGAGACTCTACTGTGACAATACGACCGCTATATGCCTACCTAAGGAGCCTAGATTCCATAAAAATTTCAAGCATATAAAGCCCTTCTTCTATCATCTACGCAATGAGGTGCAGCACGAAGAGATCGACATCAACTACATA